TAAATTTCTTATGTCTTATATCGAATACAAACACATTTTAAAGGAAAATTAAGATACACATTTATGATAAATTTCTAATGTCTTATATCGAATGCAAACACGCGTAAGTGGGAGGAAAATTAAGATACAAATTTACAAAAAAAAATTAATGTCTTATATCGAATGCAAACAAGTGCAAGGAAGGAAAATTAGATACAAACTTACAACAAATTTCTTATGTCTTATATCGAATACAAACACGTGTATCGATATAAGACATAAGAAATTTATTGTAAGTTTGTTTCTTAAGGAAAATTAAGATACAAATTTACAATAAATTTCTTAATCCTTATATCGAATACAAACACATTTTGAAGGAAAATTAAGATATACATTTATGATAAATTTCTTAGGTCTTATATCGAATGCAAACACGTGTAAATGGGAGGAAAATTAAGATACCAGTTCACAACAAATTTCTTATGTCTTATATCGAATGCAAACACGTGTAAATGGGAGGAAAATTAAGATACAAATTTACAATAAATTTCTTATGTCTTATATCGAATACAAACACGTGTAAATGGGTGGGAAATTAAGATAATTTAGAATAAACTTCTTATGTCTTATATCGAATACAAACACATGTAAATGGGAGGTAAATTTTGATATAAATTTAGAATAAACTTCTTACGTCTTATATCGAATACAAACACGTGTAAATGGAAGGAAAATTACCATACAAATTTAGAATAAACTTCTTATGTCTTATATCGAATACAAACACGTGTAAATGGAAGGAAAATTAAGATACACATTTATGATAAATTTCTTGTGTCTTATATCTAATACAAACACGTGTAAATGGGAGGGAAATCAAGATGACCTCCAGTAGGAGGAAATAACTACAATGCCAAAAGTGATCAATTAAAAAACATTAACACAGCCTAAAAAGTGGAATTTATCAGATGACCAAACAACATTGAGATAGAAAGACGTCAGACAATTATAATAAAAATGCACGAAAACGAGTAGGCGATCGGAACAGGCGGTTTTTTAATTCACATGATTAGCCATTCAAGACGAAATTTGTTTTTACGCAAGGCCGTTTAGTTTCGGTTTCGAATTACTTTCGTTCTGGATAAGCGAGTAAAACTGGAATTGGGAATCACCATTGTTTGTTTACTTACAGAGAATATTTCAGTATTATTACAGGGTTTACATTTGAAATTTTATATAATCTAATATGTAAGACGATAAAAAAAAAAAGATTTAGATTTATATCTTATTTTTTTCCTTCTTTTAATTCGTGAAGTCGGTAATTTTCCAATTAAATTGATAAATAACTTTAAAATCATTATTTTTTGATAACAATTTACTTGGTTTCCACCAAACTTGATTTATGTAAAATGGAACAAACAAAAAAAAACGATATTTGATGAAATGAATATTAAAAATGAGAGTCACTATTTTTTTTAAGAAATAAACTTAAATTATATATTGGTTCAAATCTTAAGTTAACAGCTAGAAGTTGCAAAGAAATATTAAAATAAACTTTCTGATAATTGCAAGTATGAATCAAAGTTAATAAAAAAAAATATATAGCAATTTCTTAAAACAAATTAATGTAGAAATATTTTTAAAAAAAATGCTATTTAAAATTTTTCCAAAAATAATTTTAGACAGATTAGTTCTTAAAACAAAATTCGGTCATTTGTTGACAAGAACAATTCTCAGATTAGAGAAATAGTTCGCTAAGATTTCGCAAACGTATACAAGAAAAGAAAACGGATCCACAATTAAACAATTTATATATATTTAAAAATCATTAAAAAAACAAAAATAATTCACTTAATTCAACCGATTAAAAAAAACAGCTGAAGAAAAATATATTCCATGAATTTTATAGTAAATAAATCTGAAGAAATTAAGATTATTTCACACTTTTAATCAAAATAATTATTTAGTGCATTTTCCTTAAGTCGTCTTTTTTTAAAAATTTATAATAATTAACTAAATTAACAAACATCTGGATTAACCTGAATAACCACCAGTGTTCCCCCTAGGCATTTTTAAAAGAGTGGCCCGCCCCGCCTGTCTTTTGACCCCTATAAATGCGCCCTCCTAATCTTTTTTGTAAAAATAAACCGCCCTCCCTTAAAAGCACTGCCTTTTTATTTTATTTTTACAGGAAAAGGTTCTCTTAAATACCAATTTTGATGCAAAGTCGACTTCGATTTATTTAGCTATTTGTAATTATTTAACTTTAATTTCATTCCTTCATGTTAGTAAGATTTCTCTTACTAAGATTTTACTTAGATTAGATTTAAGTTGTCTAGTCCAAGATTTAGTCCAGTTAAGTTGTCTAGCCTAAGATTTAAGTTAAGTTGTCTAGTCTGAGATTTAAGTTGTCTAGTTATATAAATGAAATTCGCATGACATTCGGTCTCAGAGATATTCACATCTTTTATTTGTACATTAATAAGTTTTTAAATTATTTAAAATTTTACCATTATTTTTTAAATAAATACCTTTTATTTAACAATACCCCCTTTCAATGATTATTTTCTCATAATATTTAGTTTAAAATATTAAAAAAAAGCTTTCACGTTGTTTATCCATTATTCCTTTTTTTAAGTTCACTTTTTCTTTGAAGAAAATTTATATAGAGAGATTATCTTTTAACTTGCCTTTAATTATTTTTCAAAAGTTTCAAATTTTTATGTTATTTTGATAAGGCGAGAGAATTATTGTGGGAAATATATACAAAAAATAGTATTTAAAAATCGAGGATCAAATGCAATAATTTTACAATTTTATTTTATAACCGTCGTTGAACAGCCGACCTAATGTTTTGGATTCGCGACCACTAATGTTCAACTCTGTAGCCTTGTAATTTTGAACCCAATCCAGAAGACAAGGGAACTTTTAGATCAAGTATTGGGAGACATTTGCTTTCGTGGAGGAATTTTTTAGACTTAACAAGCTTGCATTTGCCTTACATGGAGAGGAAGACCACGAGAACATCTCACGGTTTGCTTGACAGCAAAAAGGGGCTCTAACCCATGATCCGTTTACCACTGAGGATATTTTAGGTCAGCACTGTGGTCGATGCAAGCCGGATGCTGATTCGTATCGACCAGCCATTGCTGGGANTCTATGTTAGGGATAAATATTATATTTTATAAAAATAATCAAAATAAGTAGAATTTATTACAAATCTTTACTATGAAGAAATTGCACAAAAATAAAAATCACAACTATCTGTTGACATCACCTACTAATTATTAGCTGTTAACTCTGCAAAAAATAGAAAATAGAAAACTACGCAATCGTAAATTTTCATGGCTAGCTTTGTTTTCAAATAAAATTTTTTGAAAATAAACTGTTCCCGTATCGCTGGGTGTACACGTACCACACTTTGGGAAACACTGCCCTAAGCTATCGTGGCTCTTCGAAATGCAGTTATTACATAATATTGCACGTTTTGATTAATTTTAACGGTAGTAAGTGAGTGCGCTTTCACCTCTCAAATTAAGGGTAGGGTGCTTCCTGGCAGAATCTACCTTTTCTGCGAGGAAGCACCCAGCCCTTTTTTATCCCTAGGGAGAACTCTTTAATCACTGCCCGGTATTTACTACATTGATGTAAATTTAAGAGCCATTGCCCAATATTCCATACACTCATGTTTTTCCCAATCAGACATTATTAATAATAACTAAATAATCCGGCTAAAGAAAAATTTGCGTTTCATAAAAATTGCTTTATTGAATAAAGAAAAGGTTATTTTTCTCTCTCATCAACTCGAAATATTTTTAAAATAAAAATAAAAAATAAAGAAAGAAAGCAAGGAAGAAATAATATACTGTTTCTTCCCTTGCAATTTACGTTATCTATAGCAAAGAATATATTAAATTACTATCTTTAAGCGATCAGGGAATCATTTAGATATCTCGGAATCAAGAAAATCTAAATAATATCAAGATAAAATACACTACAAATACATTTAAAGAGCAAAATCGTAATAGTTAACATTAATAATAGTTAGTACAGTCAAGTGTAAATAGGGATCTTAAATTTATAACAGGACTTTCTCGGTTTGGTAGATTCTTTTTCAGTTTGACAAGTAACATTCTGTCTGAAATTTTCCTGTTTTTCCAGATTTTTCAAACTTATCAGGAATCAATTTTTTCACGATATTTTCCTAAATTTACTAACTAGGTAGTAAAATATTATGGGGTATAAAATCAATAACTCAAATTTATACTTAAAGCTTAATGTAATTAGACTTTTTTTTTACACCAATATTACAATATTATTTTTAGCAAAACTATATTAATAAACGGGACAATTTTTTTTTGCTGTTTAAATGCGTTTTGTTCTTACGCACAAAAAAAAAAACTAAACTTGAAAAAAAAAAAAACTTTTAAAATGAATGAATTTCCTATTTACATGTTGCGTTTAAAAATTTAAAATTTGCATTAGGGAAAACATTTTTTTTTTCTGTAGAAATTTCAAAAATATAGTCTAAATCGAAATATTTTTTCTTTCACATAGAAATTAAATATTTTCCTGGCTGAGGTATCTGAATATTTCCCTCACTTTAGGATATAAAACAGCGTCAACAAAATTCCAGCTTATCAACGAAATTTTAAATATCTTCGACTTTGAAATCATAAATTTCTCTTAACTTTTCCATGCATCTGAAAAATGACCCAAATGGAAAAAAAAGGGTTTAAAATAGTATTTAGAAAAAATTCTATTCCTTTCTCAAAAATTTCAAAATTCTTCTTTTTAAATATTTTTTATTCTTCGATTTTACGAGGTAATCCAGATCTCTAGATATCTTGGATTTAGAATAAAGTCTTGTTGTTTTGAACGATAATTTTATAGATTCGAACAAAATTTTAAGAGATCATATTTACATCACATTTAGAACAAAATAATTAAACAAATTTAATTTATTATTCGGACTTTTATTTCTAATTAATAAAATATAAATAAAATTTATATTAACATACCCAAAGGCACATCACATAGAAAAGCACAAGCAACTAAAGCACCCACGGATCCGCCGGATATTTTATTTTTTAGAATTTGAGGACAATATTTTTTGATGCAACTGCACACTCCGACATGATAAATTCCCAAATATCCACAACCATTCAGAGATAAATTAATCTCATTCACATTCATTGTAAAGTTATTGTTTGATACTTCCATTTCGTCATTTAAAAAAAAAATAAAAAAGTTTTAGTCGCAATTTAAAAAACAGCCGCTAAGAGCGAAATAAAAACAAAGTCACTGAACGATTGCTGACTCTACAAATGCACCGTTCGAAAACGATTTGCGGAGAATGAGGTTAGTCCGCAAGCAGCTGTTTTGTTGTTGAATGAAAGTGACGTAATTCATAATTCTGCGCATGCGCAGTCTTACTTGCGGAGTTCCAATCTTTCTTTTCTCTCTTTTTTTTCAACCTCTCTCGTTTCCTTCATTTTTCGAAATTGAGTTTCAATGTATAGCATAAAAATCATTTTGTTACTTTATTATTTGAGAAAAGATTAAAAAGAAAAAGAAAAGAAACCCGAAGATATCAACAAAATATTTTTTAGTTAGTGGTAATGAAGACAAACTCACGAAAGCCAAAGTAACTATTTTTTAATCACATGTTTTTATTAAATGCTGCGAAAGCAATTGGAATAAAAACGAAAAAACTCCTACCTTAAAATCTTTTGTTTTATTTGAAAAGTAAATGAACGCAAAATGCCTGAAAAAAAATTTAAAAAAAATTAATATTATGTCATATTTCCAAAATAAATTTTTCCCACAAAGTTAGTCCCGCAGTGGACTGATCGTTAAGACGCGGTTCCTAGAAAATCACCGAAGTCAAGCATCACTGGCTGCAGTCAGTGTGCGAGTGGGAGACCACTTGGATCAGTCTGCGTAGGGACAGAGGGTGTGCGGTATGGGTCCTCGTTAAACTGTTCTACCGTAAAGTGCTCGACTTCGCTTGCAGGTCGTTGGGCTACCGAAGCGAGGATGCCATCCCCTTTGCAGAGGATCAAAATTGTGATGGCTTGTCTTCGGATCATCCTCAGGGATGTTTCCTAGATCGTCGCCAATAGCCCATTGTGCAGCTCTAGTGCGACGTAAATTAACTACAACAACAAATCCTACAAAGTTACTATGATTTATACTAATTACAAATAAATTACTTAATAAGTAATCACGCAACTTTAGCAGTTTTAAAATCAGTGCTTCCAGAGAAGTAAGGTATTTAATCCCATTTAGTATCGCTATTCAATTTCAGGTTACTGCGAAAAAAAAAAAAAAAAACTCTTGTTCCTAACTAACTAACATTTCTTTTCTTATTTTTTCTTAAAAAAAATTTCAAAATTGGGGTACTTATTGTAAACAAAAATGTATGCGAATTTTTAAAATTTCACTGACAGACATAGAGTGTTAAAATGTGTACTCAAATATGCGATTTGCAGTTTTTTCACTATACAACTCTAGCAAATAGAAAAGTAAAAACGTCTAAAAAAACAATGCTTTTATTTTCAATAAAAATAGAAAAGAAATAAGGAAAAGAAAAGATAAACAAAAAGGAGAAACCAAAGCAAGGAAATAAAGAAGAAAGGGAAGAAAAAAAATCGTTCTCTAGAATAGCATTCTACAGAACGAATTCCTTTCGCTTAAAAGTTAAAAAGGTATCTTAATACTTTAAAATGAAATACCCACATTTAATAAACTGTTAAAACTTGAATGGTTCGGTTTCTTTATCTTAAACATTTTATTGCAAATGAGGAAGAAAAACACGAGGGTGAAAGTTCCGAAAAACAAAAGCGAAACAAATATTTACAAATGCTATCGTTTTTTTTTTTTTATTGTTTTTTTTTTATCTACTTTCAGAATACCAAAATATAATAAAAAAATAATAACAAAAAAAAGAAGGTTTTAATAAGTTATTTCCTAGTTACAAAATGCTATACGCATTGTTTACAATGTTTAATCTTTTATCTATAACAAATTTAGCCTCATTTCCTAGATTTTAAATACTGTTATAAGTAAAAAGGGGGGGGGAATATAAAGAAAAATTACATAATCTGTAAAATGCAAAAATCGAGATGATGAAATACTCAAAACTCTGTAAAACAAATTGTTAAAACTTTTACACATTAAAGTTTTGCAGCATTAAAAATCATTTTTGTCATTATTATTTAATGTCGAAGTTCTCTTACAGCCAGAATAAAATATTCTTTTTCAGAAAATTTCTACTGGTTGAGCTTTTAATGCCTATTTTGCAAATTTACGGTTTTACACAAAAATTTTTAACCTGATTTATGGTTAACCAGATATAACCTATTAACTTATCGATATCGTTGTTCCCAGAAAAATAATCAGTATTGCTAACAATTTGGGATTGGGATCGTATTTTTTTTCACCTGACGATTTTACTTCTATTTCCAGAATTATAAATTCTAATGCAATGAATTATCGTATTTTATATTTATATATATATAATACTGACATACTGGACATTCTAGTCTTTTTTCTTCCGACTTGCGTATTTACAACTGCTGATGAACTTTTTTTTTTACATGCAATCCCGGGGTTCCGCCAAAAGGAACACGAGCATTTAAAGTTCCATGACCGAAAGAAATTGGGAACCATTGCTTTGAATTCCTACCTCGACAAATTTAAATGCACATAACAAGAACGTCATATTACGCGAAGACCGGTATTACGACTAGCTTCCAAATCATCATCAAAATTCTTACATTAAGGATGCAAAAACTAGAGTGATTAAAAAATTGTTTTCGTTCAGCTATAGAGGTAATTTGTTTGGATCGTAGGTTCCCAACGTGTTATCGCTCCTCGTTGGGCAGTGAAGACGCTCTTTAGCAAGATAGAGGATACTTTTATGGTGTGAAGGATTTCATGGGGATCATAAACAAACTATTTATGAAATTAGTATTGAGTGGGCATTAAAATTCTTTTTTTTTAAATTGTTGTCGTATTTTTTACATTTTTAACTTAGCATATACAAACACAATTATATTGCTACTAACTAAGGTAAACAACGTTAAAGAGCACATTAAACAACGTTAAAGAGCACTCATAAAGAGCACAACGTTAAAGAGAACGCCAATTATATTGATTTCTGAAATTGATTGTCGTAAAAAAGTAAAAATAATAATAACAATAAAAATTAAAACTCGACCAAAAAAATTAAATAAACTACTTTAACACCCACTTTTAATGTTGAACTGTGACATAATTTTCATGTGAATTTAAAATTTTGGTGTCTCTTTCTTGTTCTAATTTTGTTCTAAATTCTTTCTTGTTCTAATTTTGTTCTAAATTCTTTCTTGTTCTAAATTTTGCCTAAAAGGCTGATCTAGCTCAGTTCAACATGTATTTTTAAGTCAAAAATGTATTAATGAATTATTTAAAAGTATGTAAATCTTCATTAACTTTTTTCTGATTTTTAACTTGCTTTATGAACAAGTTTTGAATACCTGTGCGTTTTCACCTTTTTTTAACTATTCAAAAAAAAAAATAATTTTTTTTTAATGTAATTAACTTTGACATCTTTGATTTACTCATAAAATTATTTTACTCGTAAAATATCTCTTAATATACTCGTAAAATATCTGATAATATACTCGTAAAATACCCGGAAGACATTTTTTTAAATTATTTCCCGTTTCAATATAAAGAAAGAATTGAGAAGAAAAAAAACTTTGTTATTTCATACCTTATTTACTCTCAACAATTTTAGCACTTTTAGTTTTTAAAGCGAACATGTGTGGGTGACCCCCGCCTCAGTTATCTTCCTTCCCACAAAAAAGAAAGAAAAAAAATTGTTTTTCGAAATCCTGCAGCCCACTGCTATAGAATACACCTCATGTTATCCATATTTGCCTGCTTAGCATCCAATGTCATCAGTGACGTTGAAAGCACATTTATTTGTTAAAATAACATATAAATGTACTTTCGAATGTATATATTTTCTATTAACAACCAGCTTACTACAACGCCAATTCCATCTGTTACAGTGAGTTCCAAATGGGCCGGAATAGCCTGGTTGGTAGGGCGCTGGGCCCATGTCCGAGAGTTCATGGGTTCGAACCCCGCGGACCGAAGACTCCCCATGTAGTAAAGTGTCTGATGCACGTTAAATCTGTCGAGTCGCAAAAGTCCCCCATGCTCCCTTAACAAATCAATACCTCTGGGGGTACTGGATTGGAGATCGATCGTTCTCTGATTCAGGTCAAAATTACGATCTATGGATGGATGAATGGATGTACGAATGGGTCCACCCTATAAACGGGTGTGACGTATGGTGCGGCAGAAGTCGAATTCTTGGCCATAGATGGCGCCACTGGAAAACAAGAACAATCACACTCCCTCTGCCTAAACAGGCATACGCCAACAGCAACAACAGTGAATTGTCGTTGTAGCGAACTTTTTACTATATATCATAGTCATTTTTTTTTTACATGTCCATGTCCACAGGGTGCATAAGCTGGCAAAAGTCACCATGAACAAAGATATTATGGGATAAAATTACTGGCCACAGAGCGACTAAATATAACAAATGGCGATTATAAAATTTTCTGCCAGTTGCCACATGATTGCCAATTTTTTTATTTTTTGTTTATTTATTTATTTATTTTGTGCAGAAAATGCCTGCATTTTATTATTATTTTTCCTTAATAAATATGGAATTAATATGGATAATTTATAATATTCAGAACATTTCTTTCCTTCGCACATGTTTCTTGAAGATGCTTCTCAATTTAAGAAATAAACCTTGCATTGGGTACCATATTTTTAAAAATGCTCCAAAAATACCTTGCATTATAATTTAAAATTTTTTTTAGTCGTTTGAAATGTTCAATTTTTTTTAAAAAAAGGGCAACTTTTAAAATAGCTACAACTGACCACTGGCCATGTTGTAGCAAAATCTCGTAATTTCTTCCTGCAACAGATGACTCAATATTTTCATAATTCTTAAATTTAATTATAAGTATCATGCTACGCTAGCGTAGTAGTCAGAATATTTTTTAATTAATAATAATAAATTTTTAAAATTCATGGTTTCTGGAATTATTTCTAGCCTGTCATGAGAATTTTCCTTTCGTTTAGAACTTACGATTTTCTCATGCATAAACATTCCATTATTTGAATTTCGACATTTCTTGTTTTATCTTTCGACCATTGTTTTCTGTTTAATTTTTCTCCTGTGACCCTAATTCTATTTCAACTATTATGTTTCCCAATCTTTTTCTTTATAGAATTCGTTCGGTGGTAACTCTCGGGTTCAATAATTTTAACACCATGCCAGCTAAAAGCAACACATATTGTTTTTT